TCGAGTCGGGCACCTGCCCGGTGAGGGTGAACGCCAGCTCTGTGAGAGCGCCGAACGCGCCTGCTGAGACACACGGGTCGAGTCGGGCACCTGCCTGGTGAGGGTGAACGCCAGCTCTGTGAGAGCGCCGAACGCGCCTCGCGCCTGCGCCGTGTAGCTCTCACTCAGACCGACGGCCAGCTTCAGGTAGAAGCCGCACATCTTGAGCGCCTTCGACAGCGGCCGGCTCTGGTCACCGCCAGACGCCTGCGGAGCGGGTACAACGTTGCAAGCTGCGGCACATGACAGAGGATGAAACATACGTTAATGTCATTGCAACACCAGGGTCCATATTCAAATGAGTTCATGGACCACAAACGCTGAACGGATTATGCCCGCTGAAAATCCTACTTGCATGCGGTGCTGTATCCAGTGCTCATGCGTGCTCATCTGCGCGCATTTTGATTGCAAACACCCCACACAGTTTGATGGCACATAGTGAAATTCTGACACTTTAAGACTTGCGCTGTGTGGTGCAAATAAAACACAACCCGGGAGCGAAGCATGCCCTCAAGCAATTCAAGTGCAAAACGAGGCGTCGGTTACCATGTTCTGAACACCGTGTAATTCCGCTCTCGCGGGTTAACAAACGCCAGCCGTTCGCAGGCCGCCACAGGGCGCCGTTCTGACCTTGTCGGCGGCCGTCTGGCGTATTTCGGCCAGGCGGTCAGTGACCTCGCCGGCCATGAAGGTCAGCGCCCGTGGCAGGTCGGCGCTGGCCGGCAGCCGCTCCGGCAGTAGCTGGAGCAGGCGCAGGTAGCACTTCCAGGCCTCAGCCATGGCGCGAGCGTCCAGCCTGGTCAGAAGGCGACCGGTCACCGCCAGGTCGTCACAGACTGCCGAAGGTGACACGCTGTGTAACATGCGGCAGAAGGGCCACGCGTCGCACATTAGCAGCGGACGTACAGTATGTTACACTGGCAGCATGGATATACGGCATCATATACTAAAAGCAGGGGAAGACTATGTGACATATGGCAGCTGATGGTGCACAGTTTCACATCCTCATGACAGGGGTACCCTGTGTCATGCACTGCCAGCAGGGTGTGCAATGTCACACACTGGCAGCACGGGTTACTGCTGAGCTGCTTAGGGGATACCTCGAGGTCATTTACCGCCCTCTTCGAAACGTTTTCCTTGTTACGGTGCAATGGAGTTGTCATTATTTCAGTCACATTCGACACCTTATATTGATCTATGCACCAGTATTTGTATCCAATTTGGGACGAGAATGTGATTGCATAACGTGTTCTACTCCACAGCGTCGGCCCTGATCCAAACCGTGAGAAACACTGACAGGAGCGAACATCATCCCACACAGCTGACAAGGTCACACAACACAGGACACAGCCGACAAGAGAGCACGGCAACACAAATATTCCAGCACACTGTGGAGCGCCACCAGCTGACAGCCGGAGCACACAGCATCCGATGGTGACCACGGAGCCAGCACAGACCGGCCCAGATCCACCTAAGCTCAGCACAGACAGGCCGAGACTCACCTGAAGTCAGCACGAACCGGTCCAGACCCACCAGACCCACCTGGGGTCAGCACGGACCGGTCCAGACCCACCTGGGGTCAGCATAGACAAGCCCAGACCCACCTGAGGTCGGCACGGACCGGCCCAGACCCACCTGGGGTCAGTACAGACAAGTCCAGACCCACCTGAAGTGAGCACGCACCGGTCCAGACCCACCTGGGGTCAGTACAGACAAGTCCAGACCCACCTGGGGTCAGCACGGACCGGACCAGACCCACCTGGGGTCAGCACGGACAAGCCCAGACCCACCTGAGGTGAGCACGGACAGGTCCAGACCCACCTGGTGTCAGCACGGACCGGCCCAGACCCACCTGGGGTCAGCACGGACCGGCCCAGACCCACCTGAGGTGAGCAAGGCCATGTCGTCCTCGGTCAGACCGTCAGAGGTGGCCAAAGAGCTGCAGAGTTGATGGAGGTGTGCCTGCAGGGTCGTGGCGGCGCGGAACAGCTGTGTGAGCGGCTCATTCACCGACTCCAGCACGCTGCCGTACATGCGCGGAGCTGCGGTATACAACAGACAGGACCATGGTCACCGACTCCAGCATACGGCCGCACGCCCGAGGCTTGCGGTACATGACAAGGGACTGCAGGTGATCTGCAGACTTAGTATCACATAAGCATGCATAAATATACTAACATGCAGCACAGATCAGCATTTAAAAATTCATGCTGTAGGGTGTGTGGGATGTAAATATAAATTCATGCTGTCGGAATCTTGGCTCTCTGGCATCCCCATACACAATTCATGGGTGCTAATCCATCGCTTTGTGACCCCAAAACCAGACATCTGACCAGCCCAGCCCATTTGTCAAGCCTGTGGCATTTAGATCCTGGGTTGATCGCCACCTGGTTCAATGCTGATTGCCTGATTTTGAGCAAGGGGGGGGGGGGGCAACCGGCAGTAGATCCCAAGCTGGGGTGCAATGGCATGTAAAATATTGACATCCCTGCCACCCAAATGGCTGGATATTAGAACACTGGCACAGATGGTGAGACACAGACTAGCCTGACTGAAATTTCACAAATTTTGTTTTTGGACGTGACGATACATGCAGGGTTACGTTACACATAATTAGATTACGGATGATGGTAGAAAGACCAATTCAGACTTTATGCACCATGCAATTACAATTTAGAAGTGCATGTGTGTGTGTGTGTGTGTGTGTGTGTGTGTGTGTGTGTGTGTGTGTGTGTGTGTGTGTGTGTGTGTGTGTGTGTGTGTGTGTGTGTGTGTGTGTGTGTGTGTGTGTGTGTTTCATTTGGGCTTTAAGACACACTCAGCTGCTGAGGCTATATGACGTCGCCTGCCTCTCACCCTGGCAGGAATCGCGAGCATTGCGGGGGATCGAACCCCGTACCTCTGGTTTCCCAGACGCGCAGTCGTTAACGCAGACGCGTTAACCACTACACTACTGGCACCCCATTAGAAGTGTGAGTAGCACTACCATACCATAACATTTGGGAACTTGTAGGGCAATGGGGATGGGATGAACACCTTTAACAGTACCTGTCCTGGCAGTGTGAATAAGTAGCTTTGAGACTGTGGAAGGCATACTGTAAAAGATCAGTCATCAAAGAGGAGGATGTCCATTCCTTGTCTTGTGCACATAGGCAGCAAGCAGAGATGCAGCCCAAAATATGAATGGGAGTCTGAAAATGGAATAGCAGTCACCAGGTTGAACTGAAGGTGTACATAATATAGGCACTGCATGCTAACCATGATGTACATCATATGCTAGTTTCTTATAGATCCCAATTTCAGACCATATTTATAAATGGGGAAAACACATGTGCATACCAAAAAAATATTTGTGAGTAAAAATGGAATGCAAAAATAGCCTCACAAGTTGTGAATGATAAGCTTACAAAGATGGTAGAAAAGGGAGATAAGCAAAATGCATGGTTACTCTTACCCAGATGAGTTTCAAAACTTCTTGAACATTATCCCAAGCCTGTAAAGCCTCAAAGGCACTGTCACATGCTCTTATTGCAGGTGGGAGCAGGATTTTAAACATGTTTTTAGCCTCTGATTCAGATGCCTTAATAATTGTTTTCTGAATAAAGGCATCAATGATTTGTGCTTGAAGAACAACATCACATGACTCCAAATGTCTGGGCACTTCATCCTGCAGCTCCTTGCATCTTGCATGCACTTGATGTTCCTCCAAAGTTTTTAGATGTGCCAAGAAATCACTTGCCATCCTTTTGCAGGTACCTAGAACATCACATGACCAATGAGATACTGGCACATATACACTTGTGGGGCAACCAATGTGGTATTGATATATCATTGCAGGCATAATAAATACAAATGGCAGATATAACAAAACCAGTCATGGTGCACTAATAATATTCATATTAGTTTACACTGTTATATTACACTACACTGTCACCTTAGCCTACACTGTAATGAACCAACACAACTGCAGTGGACCGATAACAACTATTACGCACAATTACAGGCCACCATGCTGATAAGGCATAGTTTTAGAGATTACTTTTCAGGCCCTTATGACAATCAGAATCATTTTATAATTTATATATGCACAGAAAGCTAAACATCTTACCTCACTAAAGCAGGAGTAGATATTTAATTGCCCAGATCTGAAATTGACTTATTCCAGTTACTTGTGTGAGACCTTTTCTAAGATTGACTTGCTTAAACCTTGCATTACAACCAAAGGTCAGGAAACAAAATTATGCCATTTTTCATTTGAAATGAACTGATGATATCTCACATGTGGCTATGTTTGCAGTGCATTCACACATCAAACAATGGCACTGATCATTGATTGTCAGAGAACCAGCTGAACATAAGACCAAGCTCATATTATGATTAATCCCAGGGAAAACATCACAGGAATCAATTTGAAATGACCAATCATTTACATACACAAGCAAACCTGTACAAACTACATGTTACTGACAAATATAGTTATATATTGCTCAGGGGTGTGCCTATCAGTTAAATAAGGGTGCAGTGGAGGAACAGGAACAGTACATGAATGAGGACTGCATTATATAAGCTTGAGAAAGTTGGTCATCCATCAGGCAAGGAAAGAAGGCTTGAGCAAAGTGTAGAGTAACCAGTCAAATGAATGTTCAGTGAAACAAAAGAGATAGTAAATGAATCAAGGCTGTGTTGTATATGTTGAGAAAATTGGTTATCTCTGCAAGGGCAGAAGGTTCACACAAAGTGTAGACTACCACATAACAGCTTATGGTTCAGTATGTGCTTGACCATCTGGTTACATAATTTAGGCTCCTAAATACAATGCCAGCACATTGAATAAAGAAACCAAACTTATCCAGAATGCTGACCTGCATACACTTACCTATGGCCTGTGCATAGCAACATAAACCTATGACCCAATAGGTCTATGAGCCCTTCACTCCTATTAATGGACGGTAAGAGCCGTATCTGTAGCTCAAAAAGAACGCCAAAAATTTAGTATGCTACCATATCTAGTACTGGCAGCAAGTGCCATTCACCATTGAAAGAGAATCTACTTGTTCGCTACAAGTTTAATGACTGCACTGTACTGTATTGTGCTAAAATTACCGAGTTTCGCTGTAAAGCAACACCCTTCCAGCATAATTTTTTTACTCCCTCCCTCTTCCCATATTTTATGCGAATTTGTCGCTCCTACCTGATATCGTCTCACCACACATACCAAACACATATTTCCCTTCCAGAAGTTTTAAATTTGTATTCATAACCGAGCTCACTTAAAACTTTCAGACATAAACAAGGCTCCACATAACCTGGGCATCTATGGTTACATCCTACCCACCCTCCAAATCGGAGGGTGTATAACCCCGATGCGTAACCACCCTCCGATTTGGAGGGTGAATATGCCCCATGCGTGACCACCCTCCGATTTGGAGGGTGTATGCGCACTGCCTTAACTGAATGTTGTCTATAGTTGCCATGGGTTACTGGCTGGCAAATGACTGTACTGTAAATGTGCACTTTATCTCTTAACTCAGGAACCCTCTAAGCTGCATAATAAGTGGAATATAAGGTAGATATCGGTTTTCAGCAAATGGGCAGACAATCCTATTTCAAATGCGCGGCCAACAAATGCCAAACTTTAGGTCCTCAACTATGCAAAACCAAACCGAAATGGATGTCTTCGCTGCAACTGAAAAGGCAAGTGACGAAACTGGTTTTGCTGCCATCCATAAGTTATGTTACGTTTCATGGAGAGAGATTGTTTTGTGGAGCATACCCGCTATTGCCCTTGACAGAGACTAACTGTGACATCAGAACAAATTTTTAAAAGCGTTTTGAGCAGCTTGGACTTGCGTGTTGTCAGCTTTGTCTGGTCTCAACAAGCTGACACAAATAAACTGAACCAAATCACACGCTGCAACAAGCCAAAAATATGCTTTATCAAATTTGTATCACAACTGATGCTGTCAAAAAAAAATGAGGTGAGTCAAGATTTTGTTCAGCATATAGGCTACTCTAAGTTAGGTTGAATTGGTTGATTACATGGCAAGCGGCAGTAGCTATTTGCAAGAACCAGCAACTCAAGAATGTCTTTGTGATAAAAATCGGTGAGATAGGATGGGATGAGATAAGGCTTTTTTAGGTGACGGTTAGTTGGGTTACTTTCATAGAAATAAGAATTGGTATTTTGCAAGAAACAGTGACATAATATTTGTGTTTCCTGGCCCCATCTTAACAGAAGCCAGTGGTATGTCTATTGTCTGTTTGATTTGGTGATGTACTGATGTGCAGGAGTCCAAGATTTTTTTGCTTGGACCCCTGAAGCTTGTTCAATTTTTTGTTGTTACTCATGCTGCTGAGCTTCTTTGCTTTGTTTTGCGTAAAAAAAACTGTGGAAGGGAAGTGCAAAGGGTGGTATCTAAAAATCCGGCATATCAGACAGACACGCAGGTCTTCCCAAAGAGCTTGTCTGATCGCCTTGAAACCTTAACACGCGCTCGAGTGGGGGGTCAAATTGACCCCCCGAAGGTTTTTCCAGAATGGTTTCCGAACGGCGCGGCACAGCTGCTCCAACTCTTGCATAGCTGTAGACAATGAAATAGCAGATCGTTTAGCACCAAAAACTTAGACGTACGTTGCATGGTCGCTGACCTATGGCAGGTCAAAATCAGGTCATGGTTCCAGCGAAGGCAATTTCTAGGGAATCCTTCAATCTGATCCAACGACGGAGTGTTAGACGAAGCCATACATCTCTGAGATGCTTTCTTAGGCAACCTAACAGTTGAATGAGCAAATTAAATCGACCTAAGGTCAACTATAAAAGTCACACCGAGGTCGAAACTAGCCTGTTTTGTTACTCTAGGGCTTCCTGTACAGGATAAATTCTGCTGCTCATTTCGAATTTATTGATGGCGGGAACCGCATTATACATCTTTCATGAACTTGTTGGAGGTCAGAATAGATCAGTGATCTAAAATAAATCAGGTCAACGCTTTGTTTTAGGAATATACTGCCTAGCGTTATTTTTGTCGCTTAGTCAAATGCAAAACTCGAAACAATCATGCATGATTTTGGTCACCTTGACCTTCAAAAGATCAAACAAGGTCACTGACCTTGAATGAGCATGGGACATTTTGCTTAGAAACGGTTATCTAGGTTCTGGGGACACTTTGGACACCAGCCTGGAACTTGGCCTTGTTTGACCTTTTCTGATCCAAAGGTCATAACCTAGGAACCTGAAACTTTGACCTAAGTCAGTTCACGCACAGGTCAACACACTATGTAAATTTGGTGTTTCTAGCTTTCTTAGTTCGCGAGATCTCAGGGGTCAAATTGACCCCCCACCCGAGCGAAGGGTATCTAGCCGGCCACCCGGGGGTGTGTTAATATAATCGATTCTGTGCATTGAGGTGAGTAGTGGGGAGGCAACATAGAGACCTGACCTCATGGCAAACAGCTCGAAAACACGAGGGGAAATTTCGCAAGCAAATGCAGACAAATAGATCTTAGAGCCCACTGGCCGATCACTGTGAAACCTTCACAATTAGACGCTCCATACCATGCCCGTGAAGTTCACGATTTATTCACCGATTTATTCAGCGACGAGTTCCGCTTTCTATGAGAGTAGGACGCGATGTCAATTAGCGCTCGTGAAACATCGAAAATGAACTTTATTCTACAATATCATGTGACCTTCAAAGTCAAAAACTGTTTCATGGGACGGAAAACTCGATATCACCCCAAAATTACCGGCCGGTTTGAAAACTTTAGGCATCAAAATATTTACAATCGCAAGAGTTAGCCTCCCAAAAAAAATCTGATCTCTCAAGGTCACCCTTCAAGGTCAAACGCTGGCCCAAAAGGTTGGGAACTCGATATCATCCAAAAATTACAGCCCGATTTTAAACTTGCAAACATCAGAATGTCCGCCACAAAAAGAACTAACGTACGTCAAAACGTCCTGACCCTTCAAGGTCATCCTTCAAGGTTAAACGTGGGGTCAAACGACAGAGAACTCCAGATAACTCCAAAATCTTGGGCCGATTCTTAACTTCCAAATGTCAGAATATTCACCACAGAAAGAACCAGCGTCCGTTAAATAGTCCTGAACTCTCAAGGTAACCGTTCAAGGGCAAGCGTGGACTCAATGGGCAAGGAACTCCATATCACCCAAAAAGTACCGGTCGATCTTTAACTTTCAAATAGCAGAATACAAGCGCTTGCGCGCTTACTTCGCTGCGCTAATGTAAAATTTGGAAATTTTCATTGTGTATCTTTTGCAATTGGAATCGCCGTTCTAGGTGCCCAAGTTGCCGAGATATCGCGCGAAGTGTGAAAAGGGCTCGGCCGCAGGTCGCGCGTGGTACTGACGGTATCTGGCGGCCGCCGGTAGGAAGGGGCGCATTTTGCCTGCGCTCTCTGCAACATAGCCGAACCTTTTCCATGGGGTGAGCAAATGGTCGTGGGGTGTTGCCGGTGATTTTTTTCCTTTCATTCAACTGCCGGTCTTTTGAATGATGGCAGTACGCACTGCCGTTGTATTAAACAGCATTGCATTGCATCGAAGAGTGAAAAACGGCCGGTCACGGCAAAATCTATCTTGCTGGCTCGTGCACGCGTTACACGCAGTACGTGCGACATGACAATTTATGCAACGTCTTTGTCTGTTCGATTTGTTATGAATGCATGCCACTCCCCAGATGCTCCGTGATGCTCCCAGATGCTCTGGGTGCTGAGATGTGTCACAAAGCGTATAAACCTGTGGAAAAGAGCAAAAGCCATCTTCCTGGCTCGTGTGTGCCCGACACGTGTAATGTGCCACCCCGCACTTGTGACACCAAGGGATTTCCCGTTCATTGGCCTGTCGCGGCATGCTAGTCCAGTGTTAATACGTTCCATAAGAGCGGAAATCCCCCGTAAAGCGTAAACATGGACGAAATGGGCAAAATACATCTTCACAGCTAATGTGCACGTGTCACATGACACATGCAGCATGATATTGTACACGTTTGAGGAATCGGCCGTTAGATCGCCTGTCGGAGCATGCCAGTCTCGACGTACATGCCTCTCCAGTTTCTGAGGTATGACAAAAAACGTGCAAGCCCCCCAAAAAAGCAAAAGTGTGTAAAACCATAGTTTAACACGTGGGCGCCATGACATGTGGCACGTGTCACCACACATTGCCATCTCGGTCCTTTCATTTATCATCGAAGCGCGCCAATCCCGGATGTGTTCGTGCCATAGGTGCCGAAATGTGGCACAATACGCGTGGGAGAGCAAAATTCATCTGTGAGCCCGTGGCACGTGGTACGTGTGACCGCACCATTCCTCTTGGTACACCTTTTTGTGCCATTCCCGTGTCGCTGCGACCCATGGTTATCGATATTTTGGTGCGAGATGGCATAATCGGCCGGAGGCAACGAATTACAGCAGCCAGTCACTTAAAACTTGGCATCCTGCAAGTTGTCCTGCAATTTGCAGCGCAACGTTGCGCTGCACAAACTCGCGATGAGACTGAAAGTGTAACCGCATCAATTGTGAATGTTGGAAACAAAATCCACGCATGTACGCGCACTGCGAATCACGCACAGCGCGCCGCCGACTCCGATGCGTGAGCCGAGACCGCGCTCGCGGACTACCCGTTCGCCAGCTTGAAGGGAATGTTTCACATTTGAAGATATTGAGGTAGGCATCAGATATGATGGGAAAAGCTTACTTGTACCTACTGGTGTGCTTTCAAGGCTCAAAAATGACGCCAAGTAGCAAAATCTCATAGTTTGTAAAAATGCGGCCAAATTACGTCATTGTTCGATGGCGTCATGGAATGGTTTTGAGACGATAGCCATACCTGGCAGCATCTGGCAGCCAGACCTAAAGAATACCTCGAAACACACGAAAGCTGACGCCAACCGGCCATTCTCGTCGCGGCCGGGCTGTGGCCGGTGGCGTATTGGTGGGTGGTTTGTCTGTGGATTTTTTGTCTTGGTGCTGGCCTTAAGAAAAGCTTTGGTGGACTGTTTGACATACGCAACGTAGCGATCGCCAGCTTTTATGGCAGATTATTAATATCAAAGCACAGCATGCTGTGCTGCCGCTGTTGCTGCTATGTTGTTGATGATTTTGTCAATACGTTATTGTCGACCCATCGTTGCCTGCAGTCCTGTAGTCCTGATATTGACATCATGTGATGTGCACAGTAGTAACTTTTTTATTGTTTTGTAACTGGAAATTAATAAATGTGTAATGCTGCTATAAGTTTATTGCCAAAGCATCGGTATTGCTACGGCAAAGATGGCAGGCTGGGCTACCAATTTTGTTTCGCTTAGGATGATTCATGCAATTAATAGTTTTCCCTGATATAGCCATTGTGGTGCACTGACATTATTGCTGTTGATAGTCCTTTGGCATTGTTAAATCAGTTGTTA